CGATTACCATACCCTAAAGTCGTTTTTGGGGTGCACGACTTCAACCCTGGTCAAATGAACAGGGTGAAGTCGTGCAGGGGGGGCACGACTTCTTCGATTGAAGTTGTTTTGGCCCCCCACGACTTCACTTTGGGTCAAAATTTGTCCATTTTGGTAATAAAGATGGCATATTTGCCTAGTTTGGTGCAAAAGCCATATGAAATAACTTTAGCTTTTTGTATTTTAATTAAAAATGTACAATAAATTCTTACATTTAAATTACTTTCGAAAAAACTAATTGGAATATATTTTAATAAAATAATATGGAATATCTAAAATATGATTTGCACGTATTTATATAATATTTTTTATGTGATTTCTATTTTTTATGGTTAAAGATACATATTGAGATATTCTAAACCTTTTTTAAATTAATTTTTATCTCTTCAATTTTTTTATTTATTTTCACTAGTAAAAAAACTGTTTTCTAACGCACCCTATAGGCATCGGTTTTACGAAAACCAAAACAGATGAAAACGCGGTGGTATTTTTGCAATTTCATTGAACTTATAGGCCTCGGTTCAAGAGGAGCCGAGGCATAAAGTGTATATTACCTCAGTTAATATAAGAATCGATGTATAATGTTTCGCATTTTCCCGCTAAATCATGTGAAAAACATCTACGGCACTTGTCAGGACCTATTAAAATGCCTCCAAAGCCACCTGTTAGTATCATTAAATGCACCCAAACCCCACCTGTCTAATCCCATTTATTATACCCAAAACCCTGCTCAGAACCATTAAAACGCACTCACACACTCTCTGCACTAACGCCAAGTGTCACAGTAGAAGCTTAGGAAGTCAGTTAGTGGAGTGCAGGTGTCAATAGGGAGAGCGCACGACCGTTTGGACGTGGGGTAAACAAAAATGATTTTCTGAAAAACGCTGCCCACTCTCCTGTACGCACCTTCTTCTTCCTAAACTCAGACTTCCATTTTCTCCTCCTTCTCTCTAGAAAACTCTTCCTTCTCTCTACTGAAACTCACCCTTTTTCTTCTCCGTTCATCACTCAGAAACCATAGAAGTACTCCCGGCGACGTAAGCTTCAGTTTGGACCGAACAGTTTCAGAGTCTGAAGCTGGTAAGTTCTCATCTCTAATCGTTCGTTCTTGGGTTACATGCAAAACCAAGTTTTGGTTGCATGCAAGGGTACCATCTAAATTCTTTTTTATATTTCTAGTTAGACTTTTAGTTGGAAGAATTAAGAAATCGTTGGGGTAGAAAGCTGTATACGGACAACCAAAAATTATACTCTTAGAACGTTCACCACTAATCCAGGTAAGGGAAGCTTATTCAATTTAATTCGTATGTTGTATTGTGCTGAATGGATGTTCTGTGATTTGCATGAAGCATGATCTGTGATATTTGATTTTTATATATGGTCATAAGTATGAACTGAGGTATGGTGAAGATGTGATGAACTATGGTATGAGTATTTGGAAGTATGAAATGTATATGCTGAAAATGAGTAAATGTAAATGAATCTTTAAGTATGAAATTCCCTATGATAAAGTATGTACGTCATTGAACGGTCCTTGACTGTTCGGCGTTGTTATTAAACTTTATTTGAAATTGAATTCTTCATTCGGAAAGAATTCTAGTTGAGGACGAACGCCCTCTTATATTAGTCCTACGGTTGAGTGTTCGGCAAACGTAGATGCTCTGAGTGTTAAGTGAGGAGTTGAGAAGCTTGAAAATATACATTCGGACACTTGGTCATTCTTAAAAATCTAACTTTATCATCTCGTCTTATATAAATTTCTATTTTTAATTCGAATCAGTAATGGGTCTCGACCCAAAGCGTTCGTTATGAGTGGCGCTCGGTCTTATACCGAACGCTCGTCCTGGCCTTTAATTACCAAATGATTGGAAATAGCGTTCGTCCAAACTTTCAGTAAGTACGTACCGCGTTCGGTCATTGACTGCCAGTCGGTTTCTATAATTGCATTGTTCTCGGTATGGTCGTTCACTCGTCTAGGGGTGTTTCTATCCATCTGGATTCGGCCTAGCGCCATGGTACTTAATTTATTCTGAGTGTTGATTGGAAAATTCCTAGAGTCAGTTCACTCAACTGATTCAATTGGTAATGACGTTCGTCAAATAATATGTGTCGGTTTTGTTCTGTTCTGAAAAGAGGATTCCTCGGTCTCGTTTTTAACGTTTGTCAATGTTATAAAGCGGGCTGAACGCTCGTCATTTTATGAACTTGGATCTGATGACGAAAATAATATTAAATTGAAAGGTTATAAAGGATGAACAGTATATGAGATGAAATAATGGTTGTGTATTTTGAACGAGCGTTCCAGGGAGGAACGACTCTTGGATGAAAGTTGGAATTGTAAAGTATGAATGTGGACAAAGCTTAGCTGGCGATTCATCCTGATGTTCCGTGAGTGCTCGTCCTCACGTAGAGGGGAGTATGTCATGTGTGGGAACGACAGGAGGTCTTAGTCCATAAATGTACTTTGGACGGAACGGACTAACCTCGGGTGGTAGCTGATGAGAATTCCAACTACTCCACCTGGGTGCACGAACGTCGTAGCTACACCGAATTCATACAGTCCGGACAGTCAGTCTAGTATCAGGAATTGATTGAGTTAAAGAATTGATTGAATAATATGTTGTGAAATATTAGATATGTTAGATGTATTATGAAATGCATGTTATTACTTGAATTAAATTCAATAAGCTTACCCTTCGTTTTTCATTGTGTTGCCCTGTCTCTGTATGTCCGTCCTTGTCCTTGCAATGATCATCCGTGTGGATGTGAGCAGATGGAGAGGCGTTGCTGGAAGAGACGCTTGCGGAAGGGATTTTGGAGGAAGAGAATCTCGTTGATATAGAAGTGAAGGCCGAACAGTAGGACGTTCGGTTATTAGTTAATTTAGAATGTTAGCATGCTGTATTAGGACGACCCCCTTCCCTTTTTGCTTATTTTTGGCCGTTAGGTATTTATATTTTGTAAACCGTTCGGACAGGAAGTCTTAGATTGAACACCTTTATTTGTGTTTGCTTATGTAAGGCCGTTCGGCTAAGAGTGTACTTTACCTCTTTAAATGTAAGACTGAATTGATATATTAATATATGTAAATATTCTATTTTATATGGTTTATTACTGTATTTTATGGGATGTTACAGCACTGGTTGCCCTTGCACTCAAGACGTATGGTTCATGTTTAGGCAACGGGTCAGGTGAATAACAAGGGGCAGTATGGTTTGATTACCTCGATTAAGATATAACTGAAGCAATATTGCTTTTATATTTTCATAATAAACCCTATGCGCACTGTGTTTCTTCGTTCTTCTGCTATCGCCGCTACATCCAAAAGCTTCGCTGCGTTCAGCTTTCTTCTTCCTTTGCATCTCCACCACTGCTGCCGCTGCTTGCCATGCCTCCCCTATCGCTGCTCGTCGCGCCTCCATTACGGCACTCGCCCTACCTCCATCACATTTTTGACCGCCTCCTTCGGTCCTCCCTTGCTCGTTCATAGTGGTTTGTACCTTCGCCACGGTCTTACCTTCGTTGCGCCATGTTCTCCACCATTGCTCCCCTCCCTTGCTCGCATTAAGCAAACCGACGTTGTTCCACCTGTTCAATCTACGAAGAAGCCTGCCCAGCCTAAGGAGTCGAAACCCAAACCTAAGGATGAGTCGAAGAAAGTGGCTAAGCCAGAGCTAGAGAAGCCCAAAGAAGAGGGAGAAGACGAGGATCCTAAGCCCAAACCCAAAAATGCCCTTGATCTTCTTCCTCCAAGCAAGATGATATTGGATGAGTGGAAAAGACTCTACTCAAACACCAAGACCAACTTCCGCGAGGTTGCAATCAAAGGTATTATGATGGCCTTTTGTGTTTTATTTTTGTCGTTGCTAGGAGGTAGTATGTCACATGTTTTCGAAAGCTCCTTGCTTTCTTCATCATGATTTGTTACTATTATTTAGCGAAGAGTCTCAAAGTCAGCTGATATGAGATGGTAGATATCTTATCAAGTTAAATCCTCCTTGTGAACTTGCAGGATTTTGGGACATGTATGATCTAGAGGGTTATTCTCTCTGGTTCTGTGATTACAAATACTACGACGAAAACATTGTTTCCTTTGTGCATTAAACACGGTTGGTGGTTTTCTTCAGCAGATGGATCTGGCTCGCAAGTATGCTTTTGGAAACATGCTTGTAATTGGATCACAAACACCATTTAAGGTGAAGGGGTTGTGGCTTTTGCGTAGGCAAGAGATTCCACAATTTGTGATTGACGAGTGTTATGATATGGAGCTATACGAGTGGACCAAGGTTGACATCTATGACGAAATCGGATGATTGAGGATTATGAACCATTTGAGGGAGAGCCTCTTCTGGATGCTACGTGCTTCAACTGAAAATTATTCCATAGTCTTTAAGAGCTTATGATTTTGTTGCGTCTTTTGGTAAGAGTTGGCTTCTATCTTATTTCTGTTATAGTGAGTTCTTAGCTATTTTGGTGATTTTGCGAGCGTTGAAACTTATACAAGGATGATTTTGGTATACATTCATTTTGTTTACTAGTACACAAATTTATTTATTCGTGAAAACTTCAATGCGTACGTATTTTGTTAATGTGGAAAGACTACTTTCAAGGATTTATAAATACTATAGAGGTTAGATGTATGGTCTATTATTGTTTTCGAAACTATTTTTCAAGAAAAATAATATTTTAAAGATGGAACTACCAGTTTATTCTAATAATCTTCTGCGTAATAACAAGATTGGTTCGATCTTTTTCAGTTTGTACAAACTGAATTGCCATTAGTTTACAAATTTTACTATTTGAAAGATATTTTAGATTATTTTATTGACTTTCATATTATATCATTTGAGTTATTTCTTATTACTTTATCACTAGCTTTTCTAGGTTATTTTATTTATAAGTAATGCTTTTTTATAATAAGGAGATTGTTTTATACAATTTTAACATAAATGGAATCTCGGCGTAATTTAGAAGAAAAATTAGAGAATGTTGGTGTCATCTATTCAATTCAAATATTATATTTTTACACTTTTCTATTTTTATTTTTTTTCAACTTCATCAATTTTCATACCCAATCTTACATCTGTTTTTGTTTTATGATCTTCTCTTTCTAGCTTGTGTGGTTCACTTGTTTTCCCTAACTATGTATTCAATTCAAATCAGCCTCTTTTCTTTCCTGCAGTTGCTCGGCTCAATGGTGACAACACATTGTACCTGTCTACTCCCATTGATAAAGAGGTAGGTGGTATTATTTTGGGGGCAAATGTCATGATTGAGATAACTGGCCTTGCTGACATAAATTCATCATTGAACTTACACACTACTCCCACCCATTCTCTCTCTTTTCTATATAATCTCAACCCACACGGCCCCTTTTCCACTCCTCCACAACTCCCCTGCTTTTCATCATCATCATCATCATCCCCTTCTTACTCTCTCTCTCTCTCAATTGCACCTCAATCTCACTACCTCGTTACCCAACTTCTTCCAGTCTATTTGATTTATCCTCTTTTTCCACACTTCTTTTCCTTTTCCTATTTTATATGCTCTTTTGTTTCACGTTGCAGGCCCGCATCGACCAGTGGATTGATTTTTCAACTTTAGAGATTGATTACCAGTGGATTGATTTTTCAACTTTGGAGATTGATTCTAATAATCCTTAAATCCTACCGTCAATGAAACTAAAAAAAGAAGACATACTGCGCGGTTCAGAGGAATTGATGGACAAATTTGTAAGCACCAAAATATGATGTCACAAACTTGTTTCACAATCGGCAAGTATGACCGAATCGTTTCAAGTAATAAACTTGGTAAGACCAAGTATCGTTCTCCCAAAGGACTCACGGCCTAGTTTAGTTAT